CAATGGGTCTTGACTCTTTATACAGTTTGCCATTCTGTGTCTTTTAATTGGGGGCATTTAGCCTACTTACATTTACAGTTAATATTGTTATGTGTGAATTTGATTCTGTTATCATGATGCTAGCTGATTATTTTGCACACTTGTTGATGTAGTTGCTTCATAGTGTCATTGGCCTTTGTACTTTTTTTTGCAGTGACTAGTAATGGTTTTCCTTCCATATTTAGTGCTTCATTCAGGAGTTCTTGCCAGGCAGGCCTGGTGGTGACAAATTCCCTCCTCATTTGGTTGTCTGAAAATGATTTTATTTCTCCTTCACTTACAAAGCTTAGTTTGGCCAGACACGAAACTCTGGGCTGAAAATTCTTTTCTTTAAGAATGTTGAATATTGGCCCCCAATCTCTTCCGGCTTATAGGGTTTCTGCTGAAAGGTCTGCTGTTAGTCTGATGGGGTTCCCTTTGTAGGTAACCTGGCCTTTCTCTCTGGCTGCTCTTAACATTTTTTCCTTCATTTCGGCCTTGGAGAATCTGATGATAATGTGTCTTGGGGTTGATCTTCTCGTGGAGTATCTTATTGAGGTTCTCTGGATTTCCTGAATTTGAATGTTGGCCTGTCTTGTTAGGCTGGGGAAGTTCTCCTGGGTGATACCCTGAAGTATGTTTTTCAACTTGGTTCTGTCCTCCCTGTCTCTTTCAGGTACCCCCATCAGTCATAGGTTCAGTCTTTTTACATATTCTTGTAGGTTTTGTTTATTCCTTTTCATTTTTTTTTTCTCTAATCTTGTCTGCCTTATTTCAGCAAGATAGTCTTCAAGCTCTGAAATTCTTTTCTCTGCTTGGTCTATTCAGTTATTGATACTTGTGTTTACACTATGAAGTTCTCATGTTGTATTTTCAGCTCCATGAGGTAATTTATGTTCCTCTCTAAACTGGCTATCCTGGTTAACAGCTCCTGTAATGTTTTATCATGGTTTTTAGCTTCTTTGCATTGAGTTAGAACATGCTGTTTTAGCTCAGTGAAGTTTGTTATTACCCACCTTCTGAAGCCTACTTCTGTCAAATCATTCATCTCAGCCTCTGCCCAGGTATTGCAATCATTTGGAGAAGAGGCACTCTGCCTTTTTGAGTTTTCAGTGTTTTTTCACTGATTCTTTCTCATCTTCATGAGTTTGTCTAGCTTCAATCTTTGAGGCTGCTGATCTTTGGGTGGGGTTTTTGTGGGGACTTTTTTGTTGATGCTGTTGTTGCTTTCTGTTTGTTTTTGTTTCAATAATCAGACCCCTTTTTGTAGGGCTGCTGTGGTTTGCTGAGGGTTCACTCCAGACCCTATTCACCTGGGTCTCTCCCACACCCAGAGGTGTCACCTGAGGAGACTGCAGAACAGCAAAGATAGCTGCCTGCTTCTTCCTCTGAGATCTCTGTCCCTGAGAGGCACTGACCTGATGCCAGTGGGAATGCTCCTGTATAAGGTGTCTGGCAACCCTTATTGGAGGGTCTCACCCAGTCAGGGGGCATGGGATCTGGGAGCCACCTAATGAAGCACTCTGGCTGCCCCTTGGCAGAGGGGGTGTGCTGTGCTGCGGGGGAATCCCACTTGTCTGGGCTGCCTGGATTTCTCAGAGCTAGCGGGGGAAAGACTAAGTCTGCTGATCCACGGAGACGATGGCCACCCCTCAGTCCCAGGGAGATCAAAGTTCTGTCCCTAAACCCCTGGCTGGAGTTGCTGAAATTCCTGCGGGGAGGCCCCACCCAATGAAGAAGAATGGTTCAGGGTCCGACCTAAAGTGGCAGTCTGGCAGTTTGGGTCCAAACCATCCAGTCTCCCCAGCACCAGCAGGGGGAAAACCGCAGACTGGAGCTACAGTGATGGCTGCTGCCCCTCCCCTAGGGAGTCAATCATCTTAGGTAGCAGGCAGTGGCTCCAGTGGCACAATCGGTTAGCACGTGGTACTTATAAGGTAGCAGGCAGCCATAGTGATGCCTGCTGCCCCTCTCCTGGGGAGCTCATTTGTCTTAGGCAGCAGGCAGCCATAGTGATGATGGCCTCCCCTCCCCCTCAGGAGCTCAGTTGTCTTAGACAGCAGGCAGCTGCAGTGATGGCTACCGTGATTTCTTCTTTTTTTTTTTTTTTTTTGAGACAGGGTCTTGCTCTGTCACACAGGCTGTGGTGCTGTGGCACAATCATAGCTCACTGCCACCTCAGTCTTCCCAGGCTCAAGGGATTCTCCCACCTCAGCCTCCCAAGTCGTTGGGACTGCATGTGCACACCACCAGCTAGTTTTTTTTTCTCTTTTTTTAATTTATTGTTGTAGAGATGGAGTCTCGCTATGTTGCTCAGGCTAGTATCAAGTTCCTGGGCTCAAGCAGTCCTCCTGTCTCAGCCTCTCAAAGTGCTAGGATTACAGACATAAGCCACTGTGCTTTGCAGTTTCTTTAGTTTTGAATGGTAGTTTCGCTGGCTATAGGATTCTTTGTTGATGGTCTTTCATTTCAGACTTTGAATATTTCTGCTGTCTGCCTTCTGGCCTCCATTATATCTGATGGTGTCACCTGTTAATATTATTGAGGGTTATTTGTTGTTTTTCTCTTGTTGCTTTCAAGATTCTCTTTATTTTTGGCTTTTGACACTTTTGATTCTAATGTGACTATATGTGAATCTCTTTGATTTTATCCCATGTAGAGTTTGTTGAGCTTCTTGGCTGTGTGAGAAGACTTTTTCATCAATTTTGGAAAGTTTTTCCCCATTATTTCTTCCCATTTCTCTTTCTCTTTTCCTTCTGGCACTACCACTATGTGTATGTTTATACCCTTAATGATGCCCCACAGATATCTGAGGCTCTGTTCATTTGTCTTCATTCTTTTTTCTTTTTGTTTTTCTTACTTGAGGTAATCTCAGTTAACTCGGCTTCAAATTTGCTAATCCTTCTGCTAGCTCAGATCCGCTGCTGAGCCCCTTTAGTGAATTTTTCATTTCAGTTATTGTATTCTTCAGTCCTAGAATTTATATTTGGTGTACTTTAAGTAATTTCTACCCTTTTTGTTGGTATCCTCTTATTTGGTGAGTCATTGTTCTTACACTTTCCTTTAATTCTTTAAGTGTGATTTCCTTCAGTTCTTTGTTTAAAGTATTTTCCAAGCAAGTCCAATATTTGAGCTACCTCAGGAAAAGTTTTTATTAACTTCTTTTTGCCTGTGTATGGGCCATACTTTCCTGTTTTTTTTATATCTTATGATATTTTGTTGAAAACTGGATATTTTAAATAATTTGGCAACTCTGGAAATCAGATCCCTTCCCCACATCCCCAGGGTTTGTTATTGTTGCTTTTTATTGTTTTATGTTGTTGATGATGCTTGTTTCTTTTTTTAGTAATATTATTGGACTCATTGCTTTTTGGGGTTTTTTTTTAGACAGGGTCTTGCTGTATTGCTCAGGCCATAGCGTACTGATGTGATCATAGCTCACTACAACCTTGCCTGGGCTCGAGAAATCCTCCTACCTCAACCTCCTGAGTAGCTTGGACTACAGACATGCACCACCACATGCAGCTAATTTTTTAATTTTTTGTGAAGACAGGGATCTTGCTATGTTTCCCAAACTGGTCTCAAACTCCTGGCCTCAAGTGATCCTCTTGCCTCAGCCTCCCAAAGCACTGGGATTACAGGTGTGAGCCACCATTCTTGGACCCATTCTTTAATATCTGTATTTTTTAATTATATGCAGTCACTAAAGTCTCCATGCAGTTAGTTAATGATCAGCTAATAACTGAACAGAGATATTCTTAAATGCCTTAAATCAATAACTCTCCACATTTTTAAGGGGGTTTTTATATGTATGTGTTGAGGCTCACTGTCATTGCTCCAGCACTTTTCAGTTCAGCCATAGCCTTCACTTCCTGCTTACCCAGAGCCTCAAGGTCAGCACTGGTGAGAGATTAGACCTTCTCAGGCCTTCTCTAGGAATTTGCACAGCCCTGTATACATGTGTGGCCTTCTAGATTCCCAGGAATATGTCAGAGCTTTTCAAGGCCCCCTACAGATATTTCATTCCTCAGATTTTCCTTATATAATTTTTTTTTTAGTCGTTCTCGTGTTTGCCTCAAATGACATGGCTGCTTCATGCAGCTGGGGTGTTAAATTATACGTTTTTTTGTTTTTTGTTTTGCTCCAATAAATGCCTTGGGTATAGAGTTTTCCTCACTTGAGTGAGCTCTGAGTCAGGTTAAATTAAGACAAGCCCTATGAATGGAGTTTTTCCAAGAAGCTGCCAAACAGATGAAATAATAACAATTCTGTGGGTCGGAACTTTTTGTAGGAGTTCCAAAACCATTCTCTCCCTTCTAATGGCTGCTAGGCTGCTGGTGTTTCATGACTTTCATGATTCTACAGCAGCTTGTTTTTAAGGCTACTGTGGAGGTAGGAGGGGATGGGAATAGTGCAAGTTAAAAATTCAACAAAGCTCATTGTTATTATTCATCCATTATCATTGAATAAACATTTCTTGGATTGTCACAAGCCTTTGGTTAACCAGTGTTAGCCACCCCATTGCTTTCATGGACAAGTAGATTTTCAGAGATCTGCCATTCCTAAAATGCCTCTCCCATCATTGTGTTCTTAATATCCAAAAAAGCATGTTCTTATAATCAAACGCTCAGGGGCCATGCCCCAGAAAATGAAGCCTGTGGATTCAGTCGGACACCAGTTTGGCTAGACTTTAGTCTGTCCCATGCTTTGGGCTTTGTGGGTATAGAGTGGGTATAGAGCTGCTTTGGGCATTGTGGGAATAGAGCTACCTCTGTTCTGCCCAGTTTGGGTCTGCTCCCATCTGGCCTGTGAGAGTACCCAGAACTCACTCTCATGTAGGCATCTAAGAAACAACTCACAGAGAGAACCATACCTAACTCACTGGTCCCACCCATTCTGATGATCTAGTGGCCAGGAGTGGCCTATTGAGGAGATGCATATTGTGGTGGTGGTATCTCACATCAGCTTTCCTCTGCTGTCAGGAATTTCTGCTGAAGATTTTTTGTGTGTTCCGGAACCTGATGAAGATGAGTGTGTTCCCTCGGGACTGGATGGTAATGAGACTGCTCACAAGCAAGTGAGTATGGAAGGGCTCTGTGTCAGCATTACTGAGCTGTTCTCAGACTAAGAAGAGTATGTGTGTTTCAGAGAGGGAGCACATGAGCAAGACAAATGAAGGGCAGGACCATGGGAAAAGAGAGGAGAGGGCAAATGAGAAAAACGTTTTTGTGCTTGGCAGATGATGGCACGGTAAGGATAGAGAAGGAAGTTTTCAGGATGTGAAATATAATATCCTGAGAAGGGTTCTTCCTTGAGGAAGGCCTGCTTAGTGTCCCATTGGCCTCTGCTGCCCTGTAGGTTCAGGCATTGTCCCAAGCCGCCTTCTCGATTTAAATTGTGTTGTCTACCATAGACAGTGCCAGTTACCCACCTGAGACCTGGCTGCAAGGCTCTGACCACTTCTGATTACTGACATAGAATTTACTCTAAAGATAACCCTAACCTGACTGCCTCATTTATATTTCTAGCCTGTGCTTCCTCCTGGCAAACCAGACAAATGATGCATGTGGTAAGGGGCTGGCTCATCTGGTCTCTCTCTCTTCAGAAGAAGGCTACTTGGCCTACACACTCTAGCCCATTGCCTCCTCCCACTGATCTGCCTTTTATATTGACATATAAAATATAATGAAAGTATTTGTTAGATATATTAACAAGATACTAGCATGGTCTTTCCACTTTACACCTTTTATAGCGCACTGTAACTTTTTCCAAAATGCAAATGTTTTATAAAGAATAGAAGGATGGTTATAAACAAAGCTGCACAGATACTTCCTCACATAGTGACTTTTCCATTTGAATCCTTCTTGTTTCTCTCTTAACTCCATTCAGAGCACTTCAGGCTCCCCAGCCTGTCCTGCAAGAGCAGTTTTTTCTTTCAAAGCTGTGACCCTTTAAATTTTTCACCCCCTCTAGTGGTGGACTAGTGTTTCTAATGCACTGTTTTTGTCATGTTCTTCTGCATCTAAGCAGAGGTGGCCACTGTTAGACATAAGTCTCTTTGTCAGGTAGCCAAGGCCCTATGTAATGAAAATGAAACCTACTGTCCCACTAGACTTCCTCTCCATTTCACTCTCTTGTTCCAGCAGGACAGCCTCCCATTGTCCCTTCTGTGTGCCCAGGCTAAGATTGAGAGTGATTACTCAAGCTAGACCAAAAGAGCTGAATTCAAATGACACATAGATGAAAATAATAGTATATGATTAAAGCAAAGATTTATTACCTATATAAACCCCTGTTATCCAGTATAATAATAAAATTATGTTCTAAGTCCCACAAAGTGATCATAATATCTGTTGATTACCCAGAGGTCCCCAAAATACTAGAACTACTCTGAACTGAGAGAAACTTTAAAGAACCATCGAACTCCTACCACCTTTTATAGGTAGGGAAAATGAGACCCAGAGAGAAGTATGAAGGCCAGGTAATGGCAGAACTAGGTCTAGAACCCAGTGACGTCCCGTGCTGTCCTGCCAACTGTGGGGCATTTATCCAAGACTGGTTTTCTGTAGAGTTTTTTCTATAGAGTTTGTACCATTTTCTCTTTCCTTTATAGTCACATCTTACATGGGAACAAGTTGTACCCAAGAAGCTTGCACACAGGCTATAGACAGCTGATGCCAAGCCATCAGATGCCATTGTTAGTCTTTTAATTCTGCCAATGCCTTGTTTCCCTACTGCAGTATTATAGTCACTACTGTCCAGTACCTGTCCTCTGCACTGCACAAGAATTTCACAGAGACTGACTTTGACTTTAAGGTAGGCACTCCTGAAATCCATCAGTATTATTGCAATAACCTTAGAAAGCCAAAACCAAGCTCACTTGTTTTTGCTTTATTAATAGATTCATAGTATCAAACAGCTTCTAAGCCTGATGATGATTAGAATATGACCTGGGGTATGCCTGTTGAAAGTGTTGGTAGCCAGACTTCCATGAGTATGCTTTCTAGTCCAGAATCAACACAATTGGCTTCAGAAGGAGTCAAGAGGGGAAAGAAGAAGAACAAATTCCTGTTCACAAAGATATTTAAAGGGGAAAAAAAATGAGGATCTTAAGATTATAAAATGGGTTCTATGCTACATGTATGTATTTAGTAACTCTCCCTACAAGATTGAGTTCTTAGACTATCACGTTTTCTCTTTCTCTGTCTCTCTAGGTGTGGAATTCTTATTTTAGCCTGGCAGTTCTATTCATAAATCAGCCAAGCCTTCAGCTAGAAATTATCACCTCAGTCAAAAGGAAGAAGATTCTAGATAAGTAAGATAAACGTCTTATATTCATCTCATTACCACTTGGCCAAATAGGGCTATGTTTCCATGAGAGTTCCTTCAGAGGTTCACAGGTTCTCAGCTGGGTGGTTTCCCAGGGGCCAGGTGTGGGAGTTCAGTTGAGAGCCCAATGGCTTAGCGCATTGGGAAGCATTAGAAACAAACAGTACTGAAGTACTAGCCTCATGGGTTTGCAGCCCTATCTTCCTGAACCTTCTCCCACTAACGGTTGGCTCCTGTGTTACTATTCTTAGGTATGGGGACATGCGTGTAATGATGGCTTATGAACTGTTCAGCATGTGGCAGAATTTGGGTATGTTTTTTATCTCTATTCTTCCCTTCTATATATTGCATAGCCAAATAGAAAGTAGCAAGACTAATAACATCTCCCAGGCTTTATGAATGTTAATTCAGACCCAAGAGATCCTTACATATCTTTCACATAACACCTCAGATGGATGGTGTAGCACATGTGCATAAAGCCCTTGGCAAGGAGAGTTTGGCTGAGAAATAAGACGTCAGTAATATATGTGCAAAATCCCCTTTTTTAGGAACTAAAGTCAAAAGAAAGAAAAAGAAGAGGAGGGCTGTAGTAGTTTTTTTCCAATTTGAGAACCCATGCCTGTAAGATCCTCCATACTCTTCACTTCCCAGTCTGGATGTTGCAGGCTCAAAAGCTTAGATCGGAGATACCCAGTACATGAGCAGAGGTGGCCATTGATTTTAATAAAGATTGAAACATTTCTTGGATCTCTGGTATTCATGCATCCAGATCAGATACTTGACACCAATTGCATGGAGTAATATATGAGAAGAGAACTGCAACCTCTGAGTGAGATCAGCTTTGGCTTTCCTTCTTTGCACAGCTTCTGCTTTGAAAGCTTTGAAAATAGCCACTGCTTTGAATCTAAATTTGTCAGATCAGTGTTTTTGGTAGAATTTCTGGGTTGCCCTGGTGACTGAGTGGGCCATCCTGTGATATTGTAGAGTTCTGAGTGGCCTGTCAAGATGCTAGATAACTATTATTATTTCAAATAAAGTTTGCTTTCAGCTGAGCTCATGGCTCTGAAGCTATAGGAATGATAGTCATAAAATCTCCAGTCCTCTGTTAACCATCCCCACCACAAACCTAGAGGCAGCAAGCAAGATGTGAGGTATTTCTGCCAGTGGGAGGGCCTTCTATTCATGAGTGGGGATGCATTTCCCCAAGCATGACTTTCCAGCATTCTGGTTCCCTGTATCCAGCACAGTTTGGAAATGGATTTTAACCCAAAGTTGACTCTGAAATTCCCAGGAATGCAAGAGACTGGCTACTGTGCCATGTACCAAAATTGGAATATGCTGAACCAGCTTCAGGGCTAAACATTTGCTTCTTAGACAGGTTTTCAAAATGGAAATTTTTTAAATGCCATATTTGCCTGATAAAGCCTTTACTGCCTCATTGCTTTTGGTGGAAATGACATTCTCTGGTCCCTAAGAAATGGTTTTACTTGGTTGTAGCATTTATTGCACAGACCCACAGTTTATCTCCTCCTTAGTCTCTGAAGGACTGAGAGCAGAGCTCTGAAAAATGGTTCACTCCATTTTACCATTGCAAGGAAGAGAAAAATCCTATCCCACCATCCACAGGACTGTCTCTGGCTTCTGGTAACATACCCTAGATGGCAGGCCAGTGAGAAGGAAACCCACATCACGCACTTACTATGGAAATGCTTCATTAAGGAAGTTGAGGGTTGAGCTGAGCCAAGTAGGTGTAATGGTACCATCAGAAATGCAATATGAACACAAAGGGAGTTCAGGATGGGTAAAGAGAGAATCTCTAAGCCAGCCTTTTAGGGTAGGGCTGTACAGGAGGCTCCTGCTAGCTCAGGAGGAGGACTTCTTTGGCATAGATGAACATAGGCGGTGTAAGGGTCCATGGACTTGTTAGGCCTCTGGTGGCTAGACCAGGGACTGGATATCCTCATCACTTAAATGTCTCTGGGCTACAGCTAGAAACTCCAAGGGGAGTGCATTGTATTTAAGCAGAAATATATAGGCTTTTCCTGTTAAATAAACACTGTGAATAGACCATCTGACACTCATAGGTTACTCAGAAACCTGTTCTGTCTAGAGTAGCAAACTCTGTTCCTTCATCTCAGAGAGATTTTCAGGTAGTTTGTGGGACCTGTCAGGAAGTTCTTTGGAAAAGCAGTTTTGTGACTGTTGCACATTTACTTTAACTGGGCTAGGCCAACTTTATCCATAAACTCTAAAAAATTGAGGGGGAGTATCTCAGAAAACCATAGGGGAGAGCTTGCTTTGCTCTTGGAAGCTTCCAATATAGATTATAGCATGTGTTGTGGCCCCATTTGGGAATCTTCCATGAAAGGAGCAAAGCAGGCATAAACTAATTTGGGTTTTGTTTTTCAGGTGAACATAAGATCCACTTTATTCCGGGAATGATTGGTCCTTTTCTGGGTGTGACACTGGTCCCACAGCCAGAAGTACGGAATATCATGATTCCCATCTTTCATGACATGATGGACTGGGAGCAGAGAAAAAATGGCAACTTCAAACAGGTAAGAAACCTGGCACAGTGTTCAGGGTATTCTCTGGAATGGATCCCTTCTGCTTAGGCAGGTGGCCTAGATGACCAAGCCATGATTCTAGTGGGAATGGGCTGTAGCTTGGCTAATTTGAATCCTGTTCAAGGGTTTTCCCTTACTTGCTAGCCATAATTGATTTGTGGATTTTCTTCATGAAGTTAGAGGCCAGAAAATAATGAGGCCAGCAAAGAATGAACATCACTATAACTTTCTGATCAAGGAGAGAATGATTGAGACTGTAGCCTCCCAGTTTCATTCAGGATAGGGCCCTGGGAGTGTGTGATGTCATTCCTTTACAGAGGATTTTCACTGTATAGTCCAGGCATTTCTAGGGCAGTAGCCCAGACCAGTTGAGTTCTCATGGCTCAGGGTAGCCCAGCATTTTACAGACTACTGCACAGAGAGGTTGGTCCAGGAGATACAGGCCCCTTGGTTTTCAACTGAGTGGCTTCAGGCTGTCCTCTGTGTAGTTCTTTTGCCATCACTAAGGTGGAGGACATGGCCCCTGCTTTTATATCTGTAGTTCTAGGGCATAGTACCAGGACCAATAGGGGCTATTGGTGAGGAAGCCAATTTTAGCTAATAAAACAAATAACTTGCTAACAACAAAAATTGTCCACTGTAAGCAGGCCTGCTTTGGGAGGTAGAGATTTTCTGTCTTAGCAGATGATCTTCAAGCAGAAGCTCCCAGGACACCTCTAGGGGAATTTTCTGTATTGGCTTGGGAATTGTACCAGTTCCCCACTAGTTCCCCACTAAGCTCCTTCTGAGCCTGTGATTCTAGGATGAACCAGTGGTCTTAGAATAGGTGACTGTAACAGTGAGAAGTAGACCAGGGAAGCAGTAATTTTTAAATATTTATTTACTTTTAAATTTACATAGAGTAAAATGTATTCTTTCTGATTTACGTTGTATGTGTTTTGGCAAATGCATACTCGTGTAACCACCACTTTAATCAAGAGTTTTTGAATACTTAAAAATTCGATCTTGCTGTCTATTTGTAGTCAAACCCTTCCCCTATACTTAACAAATGCAACCATAGGTCTGTTCTTCATCACTATAGTTGTGCCTTTTCTAGAATGTCATATAAATGGAATCAAACAAAGTGCACCTTTTTGAGACTGGCCCCTCTCACTTAGCATAATGCTTTGAGAAATTCATCCATGTTACTGCATGTATCAGTAGTTTTTCTATGCTGAGAAGTATTTAGTTCATTCATTCACCATTTGAAAGACATTTAGACTTCTTAATAATCGCCGTTATAACTGGTGTGAGATGGCACATCAAAACTACAATGAGACACCATCTCACACCAGTTAGAATGGTGATCATTAAAAAGTCAGGAAACAACAGGTGCTGGAGAGGATGTGGAGAAATAGGAACACTTTTACACTGTTGGT